AATCTTTTTAAAAATTTCTTTTAATGTTTATTTATTTTGGAGACAGAGAGAGACAGAGCATGAACGGGGGAGGGTCAGAGAGAGAGGGCAACACAGAATCCAAAGCAGGCTCCACCCTCCGAGGTGTCAGCACAGAGCCGACAAGGGGCTCAAATCACAGACCATGAGATCATCACCTGAGCTGAAGTCGGACACTCAACCGACAGAGCCACCCAGGCGCCCCAAAAATGTGTGATCTTAATTGAAAATTGAGAATGAGTTCAGGAACTCATTCTCTGCAGTCCATTTCATAAAAAAATAGTTTTAAAAACCAGGTTATGAAATGCTAGAAATGAGAAGAGGAAAATATTTATGGGTGACAAAAATAATTTTTAAAGAATAAGACACCTTTTTGGTTAGCTTATAAATAAACAAGAAACTCAAAAAGAAATAGCTGATTGTCTAGAAAATATAACTTTACAAAATATTTGTAAAGGAGGAAAATATGTCTATTAGAGAAAAATCAAAGGGTATAAAAAGCAACCACCTCCACGGGGTTCCCTAAGTCCATATGTTTTCCCTGTGATTCTATCAGGTTTTCAAGAAAGAAATAATTTCTTTATTATATATCTTTTATAGCACAGAAAATATTCTCCGAATTTTTGTATTTTTAACAACTTATTCAAGTCTGATTTACCTATAAGAAAACGTACTTATCTTTAGTGTCCAGTTCAGTAAATACTGACAAATAATTGAGACCAAAGTAATCTTTACCATTAACCTATATACTATTTGCAGCACCCAAAATATTCTCTCATACCTATTTACACTTAATTCCTATACTCCATATCTGCTTCAAAAATTGACCAATAATCTTTCTGTTACTAGTGGTTGGTTTCCTTCTGTATCCATTTCATGTAGATAGGATTATACCATAGGTACCATTTTATGTCTTACATCTTTCACTAAGCATATAGTTTGTGACATTCGTCTATGTTGTGTTTCCTTTTAATGCTAAGGGATATTCCCTTTATTAGATATATCATATTTTGACCCATTCATTAAATAAATGGTGAATATTTGGGTAGTTTCTAGTTTGAGGCTATTGTGAATAAAGTCACTGTGACCATTGGTATACAAGTTTTTTTGTAATCCTATCTTTAAAAAGCCTATTGGGTAAGTGTTTACAGTTAGATTTGTTGAATGTATAGTATGTGCATGTTCAGTTTTATAAGAAAATACCAAAATGTTTTCCAAATGGTCACACCTTTTTACCCTTTGGCCAGCAACTTTTGGAAGTTTGAGTTGCTCCACATATTTACTGAGTCTGTTAAATTTTATTTAATTTAGTAAGTGTGTGTTATACCTCATTTAGTTTTTACTTTATACGTCCCATTACATATGCACGTTGGCTGTTCATTTATCTTACTTCATAAGATGTCCCTTCACTATTTTCCATATTTTTAAATAAATGGTTTATTTGCTATCTTCCCATTAAATTCTAAATATTCTTCATATATATTTCAATATAAGACTTTTGTTAAATATATATTTTTTATATTTAATCATAGTCTCAGACTTGCCGTTTTATTTAATTAATTGTGTCCTTCAAAGAACAGAAATGTTTGCTTTTAGGGAAATCCAATTTATCAGATTGTTCTTTATTGTTTATGTTATCAGTGTCCTGTTTAAAAAAGATACCTCAAGGAGGTATATCTCAAGATTTGCTTTTGTTTTGTCTATAAGTTTTAGTTTCTATATTTTGAGTTAATTTGGGGTATGTTATCCTTTAAGGGTCAAATTTCATTCTTTCACCAAAAAGAAATCCATTTCTTCTATCACCATTTGTTGAAAGGCCAGCCTTTCTTTAATGACTTATTTCGACACCTGCCTTTAAAAATCAATTGACTATTCTATGTGAGCATATTTCTGAATCCTTTGCTCTGTTGCATTAATCTACTTATCTATCCTCATGACAATTATACTGTATTGATTAACACCGTCACCATAGTAAATCTTGAAATCATAGGGGCGCCCGGGTGGCTCAGTTGGTTGAGCGTCCGACTTCCTCTCAGATCATGATCTCACACTCCGTGAGTTTGAACCCCTCATCAGGCTCTGTGCTGACAGCTCAGAGCCTGAAGCCTACTTCGGATCTGTGTCTCCCCATCTCTCTGCCCCTCCCTGCTAATGCTCTGTCTCTCTCTGTCTCAAAAATAAATAAAAACATTTAAAAAATTAAAAAAAAAAAGAAATCATGTATTAAAATGTATCGGACTTTGTGCATCTTTTTTCAAAATTGTATTGGGGCTCCTAGATGTCTCAGTTAAGCCTCTGACTTCAGTTCAGGTCATGATCTCACAGTTGGTGGTTTCGGGTCCGCGTCCTGCTCTGTGTTGGTAGCTCAGAGCCTGGAGCCTGCTTCGGATTCTGTGTCTCTCTCTGCCCATCCCCGCTTGTGCTCTGTCTCTTTCTCAAAATAAATAAACATGAAAAGAAGTCAAAATTGTATAATTTAAAGTCCTTGAATGCTAATCCCATTGTCTCTTACATTACTGAGATTTATTATCTCCTATTTATTGGTCACATTTCCCTGCTTCTTTGCATGTTTAGTTATTTTTTGGTTAGATTCTAAACAAAAAAAAAATACTGATGTTTAGATTGTTTAGCATCTGGATTCTGTTCTCTAACTTAATGAGTGTTAAAGTTTATTTAGGCAGGCAGAAGTTACATTAAGAATCAACTTTGTTCTTTTGACCCTTGTTTTTAAGTTTTGTGCTGGTGAGTCTAGAATAGCCATTATGAGACAAGTGAAGTTTTTTTCTGGTAGGTCCTTTACTGGAAGCTGGGTGTTCAACAAGATAGCTTCACTTTGGCGGGTGATCTCAAATATCTCTCAGCCACCAATATTGTCTCTAGGAACTGCTCAGCTTGCAGACCTCCAATAGTTGTTTCTTGTTCAGCCTGATGTAGCTTGCCTGGGCATGTGGAGGTTAGGTTTGTAGCAAAAGATCTGCCTGCAGATTTCTAGAACTTTTTCTCTGTCTAGTTTCCTACTCTGGTCCATAAATTCCAGCTATAACAGCATTCTGAAACTTCAGTTACTGTCTTCTCAACTCAGTGAAAACACTGTGCTTTGCTTGACTTTCCCCTTCCTGTTTTAAGGTCCAGAAAGTTCCTCCAGGCAACATGTAAGGCTTTTTCCTTCCTCTCAGGAATTACAATGCTTCTACCCCACAATCTCTTCATGCTTATTGTATAGGAATGCTTTAGTCATTAATTGATTATTTAAGTCATGAATAAACATGAGTTATTTTTCTCTGTTATAATAGTGATTTTCATTACCATTTTTATTTTCCTGAGTCCCCCTAATGGTTTTGGTGTGTCAAAATTATTTAAGAAAATCCAATCGGATGGAATCATAATTTATCATTAAACAAAATGATGCAGAAGGAGAGTTTTCAAAGAAGTCTCCATGGAAGCCCAAGTCCACTGAGGATCCTCAGGTTGCCATGGTGGGGAGGGAGGTGCCAATGAGTAGTAGCAAAGTTAGGCAAATTGCTTCTCTTCTTCCTTTCAGTGAGATCAGGTGTATATCCATGGTGACATCTTTTTTTTGTTTGTGTTTTAAGTTTTTTTCAATGTTTATTTGTTTTTGAGAGAGAGAGGCAGAGACAGAGACAGAGAGACAGAGCATGAGTGGGGGAGGGGAGAGAGAGAGGGAGACACAGAATCCGAAACAGGCTCCAGGCTCCGAGCTGTCAGCACAGAGCCCGACGTGGGGCTAGATCCCACTAACCATGAGATCATGACCTGAGCCGAAGTTGGACGCTTAACCCACTGAGCCACCCAATAGATATAACCACCCCTCCCTGGTTATATCTATTACAGTTCTCCTTCAGATTTCTTTGAAGAATGAATTTTACCTCTAAAATGTGAAAACTATTCATTTAGAATACATACTGACATAGAAAATGTACATGACACATTGTTAATTTTTAAAGATCAGATTACAAAACATTATGAAACACATTTTTGATATAGAAAATTGGTAATGTGGCTGGTTATTGAATTTAGAGTCATTATGATTTTCTTCTTTTTGGGCACTGTGTAATCCATAAAGAGTATATTATTATATAAATAAGATAGAGTGAAATTATTATGAAGTAATTAACATTCTTCAGAAAATATCAGAAGACCAATTTCATGGGTTTTGTGTGTTTTTTTTTTTTGCAATTATTTAGAAAAGTTACTCTATCATTACCCAGATTTATAAAGACTTGTAATGTTTTTGTTTTGACCAATGATGGACAAAAGCAAACGAGAAAACTTACATTTCCTGAGTGAAAACAGGAACACATATTGAAATCAGTGTATATTTTATTGTTATAAATATTATGTCCTCATCCTGTGTATTTTATTTTTTAACATGTTTTGAGGTAGAGTTTTTCTGAGCCTTAGGTTACTCAGCTGTGATGTATTAAAATAAATGATTAAAAAAAGTAACTGTTTTATTGAGTTAGGAGAATTAAAGATGATATAGATAAAAGGCCTAGTTTGTAACAAGCACAAAGGAGAGACTAGCTTTAATTTCATACATCATCTTATATGTTATATATCTTAACAACAACAAAAAAAACCCTTAAAAATTCTCAAAATGCAATATTTGTCTTAAAAAGGAAGGAAAATAACTTCTTCATGAGACATTTGGCTTTCAACTTATTGTTAAACTGCATACATGAACTCAAGATAGAATGAATTTACAATATGGAAAAGGAAGATTTCTGCCAACTTATAATATGTTGTTATAGAGGATCTTGGGAGTACATATTGTTGATTTTCATGAATTTTCCTTTTCTGCTTGACTTCCCTTTTCATGGAAAGCTGCCTGTGTTACTGAAAGATTACTGTTTGCATTTAGTACAGATTTGTTCTGGTTAATATTTTATTAGTTGCTATTTTTAGCTTTAATAAAAGACTACTTCTAACTCTTTTCTCTCCGGCCTTTTGTAAATAGGTTGTGTGCAAATTGAAGTGGTTGGAAAATCTATTGGTCGTGCACATTTTAAAAACTCTTTGTGAAATAAAGTGTTGGACTCAGACTTCCAAGTGGCCACCAGTCTGGAGCAAAGTATATTGGTAGGATTTGTCACACCTGTTTGACTTATTTGTTTTGTCTCTGTCTCTCTCTCTCTTCCTCTTTGGTTGGCTGTCCCAGCTGAGTGGTGACATTTTTTTTTTTTTAAGTCTTTAAATAGAAAGCAAATCTTATCTTAATGATAGCTCCTGCTATGATTTTGAAAATGTAGGTTAAATAGAAATTGTTTTGTAATATCCTACAGTTTACCTAGCATGGGCTAGATGCTAGCCCTCTATATAACATTTTCTCGTGTAGTTGTATTTCATCTTTACAACATCTTTTTCAAGTAAGGAGTATTTTGAGCCCTATTTTACAGATCGTAAAACTGAGACTCAAGACACATAATTTGACCATAGTTACTCAGCTGGTAACCAACAAAAGCTACATTTGATTCAATATGTTATTAGAAATGTAAAGCAAATTTGGATATTGATCTAACTTTTCAAAGTATCAGATATTTTAAAGCTCAAATTATCCAGTGAACCAAATAATCTTTGAACTCAAGTTTGAGAAGGGACATGTACCTCATTTTCCTTAGTTGTTAAACTTCTGATGATATACATTTGTTTTACTAATGATTTTCACAATGACTGCTCCTCAAAGAAATTCCATTCTGGAAATTAATTCAACGATAGGAGTAAAAAGACTCATCATTCTAAAAATATAGGGGAAGTATTCAGGTACCTGGGTGGCTCAGTTAACCACCTGACTCTTGTTTTCAGCTCAAGGTCATGATCTTAAGGTTCAGCCCTTAAGGTTCCAGCCCTGCATCAGGCTCCATGCTGGTAGTGCAGAGCCTGCTTTAGGGCTCTCTCCCTCTCTCTTTGCCCCTTCACTTCTCACTCTCTCTCTCTCTCTCAAAACATAAATAAATAAATTTTAAAAATAAATACAAAAGGACAGGGGTAATATTTAAAATGGAAACTCTTCAGTTTTTGTTTGTTTGTTTGTTTTTTTAACAGAGAAGTAAAATGGTTTGTTTCTTCAACTGCTCATCTCCTTTGACATCTGTTCCCTTGGAGGATGCCAGTGCCCCAGGACCTGGTGCTGGAGATAATGGCAGCTGGAGCTCACCAGCTTCTTGGACTCACAAAGGTACTTAGACTGGCTGAGTTCAGTAAGCATTAAAATGTTGTGTTGGGTTTATATATTTTTTTTTTCAAAAAGTTCTCCAGGCCTCATATTTAGACAGGATGATGCAGAGTGCTGAAGAGTTAACTAAATGAAACGAGGCAGTTATGTTTCTTACAGAGATTAGCAGATAGTCTCTTTTAGCTCTACAAGTGGCATTGCTTATCTTTCAAACTAGAATATGATTAGTTACTACCAAACTTAGTAGGTGCTGCAAGCATTGCTAAAATTGCCTTTAAAAAAATCCTTTGATCTGTTAACAACACTGATCTGTACAGTAAGGTGATTTGGGTCATAGAGATGCAAAATTCGTCATTGCAAAAAAAAAAAAAAAAAAGAAAGAAAAGAAAAAAATATAATTAGCTTATTTCAATATCTTGGCTTGCAGTGACTGAACCTGTTTTTGGGTAAAAGAAGGCATAATCAACTGTAATTATTTGTAGTTTTAATAGCTTATGTAAGTCTGTTTAATTATTAATAGTAAAATGGACTCCTAGGGACAGGGCCTGTTGCTCTTGAACTAGGTAGGAAAATAAACATTCTTATAATACATATGTTTGTCAAAAATCGATTGATGCCCTGAGTTGCTGATTGACGACAGGACATAAACCTTATTTTAACGTTCAGTGTGTTGATTCATTTTATTTGGACTATGGTTTTCACAGTTTGAAAAAAAGAGAGGAGATTATTATTATCTGTTTAATTTTACCAAAGCAGATGGCCAAACAACATAACTTACTCAATCTAAAATAAAGCAGAGGGGCTCCTGGGTGGCTCAGTCAGTTAAGCGGCCGACTCTTGGTTTCGGCCCAGGTCATGATTTCATGGTTTCTGGGTTCAAGCCTGCCATCAGGCTCTGTGCTGATGGTATGGAGTCTGAATGGGACTGTCTCTCTCTTTCTCTCTCTGCCCCTGTCCTGTTCTCTATGTTTGTCTTTCTAAATAAATAAATAAACATGGAAAAAATTAAAAAAATAAAATAAAGCAGATATTAGTATGAGTTATATAGTTTGATTTCACTACCTGATTACATTTATTGGGAAATTGCTAAATCCTCCTTTTTTATAACAATACATTTAACTGTCTACATTATGTCCTTGAGGCCTACACGTAGTCAGTTTAGGGGAGGGAAATACTACTGACTGTTGAACAGTTTGCAAAGTTGACAAATGTCTTGAAATCGAGTTGTGTACTTGAAGTAATGTTTCCTTGGAGCAAAGGGGAGAGAATAATCCCATTTTTATAACAATGGATTGAATTGAATACTCACTTATTTTTTTCTTAAAGTTTCATGTAATCTGTGAAAATGTTTTTCACATTTGACATTATATATGCCACATGCCTGTGAATTCACATATGCCATTAATCTTATAGGCCATATTTAACTCTGAGAGATATTTTCAGTCAATAAATACTGAAAAAAATTTTTTCAGTAAAGAAAATCAAGAAAAATGGATAACTGAGGAAAGATGGCAGGCAAATTTTAAGGTAATAGCCTAGACCTTAAAAGGCTGTATCAAGAGCAGCAAGGTATAAAATGGTGGTCACAAAGAGAACATCAACAATCAAACTCATCTGGAGAGTGAAACTTCAGTAAAACAGATTGATTTCCTATTATACAGAACGGTCCTTTCTCTCGGCCCCACTGCCCAATGAGAGACTTGCAACATAATCTAAAAAAAGCTTGCTTTTAAGAAGCTATTTGGTAAAGAACTTAATCTATACTGTAAGGTCAGCCATGTGTTAGTAACAAAGTTTGTAAATACTGTTAAATAATAAAAATTCAACTGAGTAAATTTTAAAAGATCTAATTGACTTTATTAATTGATTCATGAATCTGGCAGCATGCCATCTAACAAGTAGAGGGGAGCTCCAAAGGGCTACGGTTTTTAAAGGCAGAAAGGGAGTAGAAAAAATAGATCAGCAAATAATCCATTGTTTTAGGCAGGTCACCTTCCTAAAGGGAGCAGAAGGGATTTCTCAGTAAATTTCCTACTGCTGACAAGGAAATTCCCATGTTGAGCTGACTAAAGGTTACATTTCTAGGGGTTTGAAACTGCAGTTAGTTTAGGTATTAAGTCTTGGTTTACTGACTTGGGACCTTAACCTAAAAGGCGCCATTTTGAGTCTGTGGTGTTCTTTTTAACTATACCAAAGATGTGTTTTATTTTTCATGTTATTTTATCAGGAACAAAACAAAACAAAACAAAACAAAACAGCTAAAGTAAGTAGGTACGTATTTCACTAAATTGTCGGGTCTCCAAGATGAAATTTGTTCTTATCATCTAAAAATTGATTACATTTCAGAACTGAATAAATGGGTTGCTTTTATGTTTTCATTAGATATTAACTAATTCTACTAAAGTCCTACTTTTAATGCCTTTTGCTTTATGAGTGTGGAGTTACACTGAACATATAGTTAATACCATTTTCCCCCCCAATTATTAAATCAGAAGCTCATTTTCTTAGAAACAAAGGAACTCCAAGAGCCTGAATTAAACATGTTTTGGAGAGAATGATCTGAATTGTGGCCATCCTTTTCCATTGCTAATTTAAAAATGTTTTGCTTGCAGGAATTACCTGATAAGAATAATAATAAGAGTTTACTTTCCCTTTAACTTTATTACAGTTCTGTTCTTTTACTTGGCTATGAATTTTGGGATTGTTTCTCTGTGCCTTATTTCAGACACTTCTTCCTCTTGCAACCTCAGAACCTGAGAATTTCCATTATATATAATAATGCATTACATTTTATTTTTGTCTGGAAAATGTGTAAAATATACTATAATACCAAACTTAATATATTGCAAACAATAGGAGAATCATAGGCTCGTATATCATGATATAGTTTGAACAGAAATGAAATATATTTTATACATGATTATGTATACATACACATATATTTAAAGACTGTGAAGTTTATTGAAAAGAGAGGAAAACAATGCAAATATAACAAATAGAATTATAGAATGTAGAGCCCTACTTGCTTACTTTTTGTGGTAACATTTCCAGAGAACTGAAATCAAAGTAGATAAAGCTATATGGTGACAAAATTGCTTCAGAATTGTTGTATGATAGATATTCTGTCACCCTTTACTGGCTGAATTAATTATTTGTCAATTAACCAACAGATGGATCCATCTCTTCCACAAGTCTCGTGTTTCATTTTTCTTCCCCAAATCAATATTTCCTTCAAATATTTAAGATATATTTAGCTCACTTTGGACTGTGTCACTATTAGGAAATTACCTAAGTAGAGACTTCCTGTGTAAAACAGAAAAGTTCTCATTTTAATTTGGATCTGCCTTGTGCTATAAATAACATTTGAATCTGGAGAAATCCTAAATGGCTTAGCATTTTACACATATATAAATGTATTATTTTTTTTTCAACGTTTATTTATTTTTGGGACAGAGAGAGACAGAGCATGAACGGGGGAGGGGCAGAGAGAGAGGGAGACACAGAATCGGAAACAGGCTCCAGGCTCTGAGCCATCAGCCCAGAGCCTGATGCGGGGCTCGAACTCCCGGACCGGGAGATCGTGACCTGGCTGAAGTCGGACGCTTAACCGACTGCGCCACCCAGGCGCCCCCACACATATATAAATTTAAATGTATAAATATATTTATCCAAATAAGACTAAGAAAATGAGGAAATGCCAAGGAGTGGTTCTGAAGGAAGGAATTACTACACTTATTATTTCTAGAGATTTACTTGCTCAATTTATGAATATTTGTGAATTTTCTGCTCTTGTTTTGGTAATCTTGAAATATATGTAAGCATATCACAGACCGTGTGTATGGTCAACTTATGACCATGTTCTGCTACTTTATTGCAATTCTGGAGTTTACATTTTCATTGGCCCCAAGGAAAAGACAAATTACCTCATGGCAAGCTGTATAAATAAAGATTTTACAATCACTTACATAAGGAAGAGTAGTGGGGAAATTAAGTCATCAAATGGCACACAGACTTTAAACTCTTCAGAACTCAACAGAACCCGTAGCAGTTGATATCATAATCATTACATGAGCAGATGCGTTGTTAGATTTTATTTTTATACAAGTAATTATGACACTAAATATGTAATAAAGGACTTCACACTTCAAATTATTTTTATTGTATTTTATGAGCATGATTGGATTAACTGAATCTTCAGAATAATTCCCTGATAGTTAAGATTATTAGTTTTTTTTTTAAAGGCAAAAAAAAAACGAGCAATGGTACAATTTTAACTCAAATAATGTTGCAGCATGCTCAACATAAAAATGAGAAAAGTGAAAACATGCCATTTTATACTTTTAAATCCATTGGTAATTACGTTTTTTAATATCTTAAAATATATTCCATATTAAATTAATTTTGTTAATTTGAATTTTATTGGTTTGTGGGAAGTTTTAATATTTTATTTGAAAATGTGGTTTAATCATGTTTCAAGCTATAAGTAAAATAAGTTTTATTTATATATATTTAAGTAATATAATAAAATTTTAATAACACTTGGAAGTAAAGAGCATTTAGTTTTGTATTTTTTCAATATGAAAAAGCCCATAGACTAATAAAATTGAAAAGCCCCTGGGAAAGAGATTCCTAATTATTTTTGCCTTTCAATGTAGACCAATATTTGATTTTTTTTGTTACCTGTTGTCTCTCATTTTTCATAATTAGTAGTATTAAAAGTCCATAAATTTGTTTTGCTTTGCTTTGTTTGTTTTTGTTTTGTTTTGTTTTTGTTTTGTTTTTGTTTTTTTTGCAGGCTCCACGCTTAGCCTGGAACCCAATGCAAGGCGCAGTTGCCCCACCTTGGGACCATTACCTGAGCTAAAATCAAGAGTTAGACGCCTTACTGACTTAGCTACCCAGGTGTCCCAGTCCATAAATGTTTTTAACATATGTGTATGCTCATTTCAGGAATAACGGGGAAAAACAGAATAAACAATAGTTTCTTCTCTCTGCAAGAGATT